ATAGAGATACGTTTTTTAGTAGCCCACTTCAGAACGTGCACACCACAACAAGCTGCTATTTTATGCTGGCTCCGGGCTGTTGTTGAGTCACCTTAAAGGTAAAGCACACTACTAACTGGGGTCTACAAAAGCTCTCAAGCTTTTTTGCAATCATTTTAGATAAATACTACAGCTTTCTTTTAAATATCAATAGTAGGCTATGTACAGGTTTAAACCAAACTAATACTTTTAACCTGGAAATAGTTTTTAGTGTTTACATTAATCAATGATGTATAGTGATAATTGATTTTCCTATCTGATGGGGAAAAAAACAATGTTATACACTGACACAGCATGGTAATCATTTAACAGCAATATGTCCGCGGTCATTGTAAAACAAGGCGTGGACCATAAGTATTTTTATTTTTATCCGTAAATTTCCAATTGAAAAAGAAAAGGTATTAAGGCATAGGCAGCATAGAACAATGTGATACTGTGAAAAGCACAACACAAACAAAAACTGACAAGGCTACACACTGCAAGCAAGGCAGTGCAGCGTAGCGCGTGCACTGTAACCATTCGCGCTCACGTTATGACTACAATCAACGAATCCGTCTAAAAACCGCGCGAATCAGTTAGGTTCTACCTTATAGTATTAGGTATAATAATACCTGTATTTGATTTCCGCCAGACGTCTGCGATGAATCTCACCTGTTTCTCCGACTCCCAGCAGAGTCAAGTCCGCCTCCCAGGAGCCAGCGGCGCCAGGTAAACTACCACACAACAAGTTAAGGGAGCGTCGAGTCGACCCACCTTCGTTTTTTAACTCTTTCTCTACCACACTTACAGCGTTTTATGGTTTACAAGGGCAGATACGAATAATAGCCTACTTGCGGTGTAAAATCTGTCACGCTGAGGGTCAGAGGAGAGGACACGGTTCGCTGGGTATTCACAGTGCCTGTGGTGTGGGTTAGGGTGGGAGCTGTTCTTAACTAGCTTGGGTTTTTAAGCAGTAAAATGAGATTTGTAGGCCTTCAGGAAGAACTCCTCCTTTGTTTTGTAAACGTGCTGGTGGCTGAGGGGCATTTTAGCAGGAATAGACCAGCTGTCATCTGTTCTCATGGTTGTTGCCAAAGACAAATAATAGAGGTAGGTAGGCTACAATTGCCTAGCCTACACATAGCTAGTAAAAGTGAGCCTGTAGTGATTACAAATGTATTTGTATTCCTCAATACCCGAATTGAGCTCATGGACATTCTTAAATTATGGTGACAACCATGTACCTTGACTTTGCAGTCATTAAAGAAACGTTTTAAGTCTTTAATAGACAAACTATACCCACCTTATTTTTAAATGTGTCTGGCTTTTGGTGTCATTTGCTTTCAAGTTATTTACAAAACAGCTCATTATTCTGTTTGATATTGCAAACTGGTATTTCTTACCATATTTTTTTAATTTATGTCTTAATTATAAACATGCTGGTTTGTAGCACAAACAGTTCTACAGTTTACTTTGGTATTCTTCTCGTTATTTTCCAATAGCAGCTAATAAATCGAAAGTCTTGCACATTCACAGAAAACATCTTACTTCCGCGTTGAAAAATAAGGTGGATAGAAGCATGAAGTCATCTGAGGACCTTCAGAACCGAAGCTTCACACAGTACTGGTTTTGTGTGAAACATTTGTCATGTACACTGATGTAGAGAGACTAACAATGGCTTTGAAACCTGAGACAGGTGCACTGAAAGCTCCACTCCCACTGTGCCTCTCCCTTTCTTTCCAAACAAATTCCAAGCTATTCCCAAACAAGAATGGAACCGACAAAGATGTGGGGGAAAAAGTGCACTTTGTTGGCACTGTCCACTATTACTCAAATGCTTTGGAATTAGGTAAAATTCAGAGAAACTGAGAACATGAGAATGAACTTTCCCTGGAATTTTGTAAAAATGCTTTGTGGTGAAACTGAAATGAATATGAACAATTTATATTAAATATATATTCTTAGAAAGTTATTTCTTTAAAAAGTAACCCAAAAGCCTCTCTCTTTCGCTCTCACTCTCCATCTCTCTCTCCTCCCTAGTTTCAATGTTTCAGTGGCTTTATGATAAAGTTATTTGAATTAGCCTACCAAAGTAACAGAGAATGAGACAATGAGAACAAAAACCTTTCTCTTTCAAACTCAGTCTTTATCTCTCTCTCCCCCTCCCTTGCTTTTTGCCAAATTTCAGTGATCTTCAGGATCATTTACTGTTTTTGAAACGGAGAAGCTGAAAGCATCTGTGGACAATAGTAACCTTGCAGCTACAACACCAAGCCTGACTCAGATCCCTAAATATGTGTTAACAGTGTCTCAGGAGATGAACATGTTCCCTTTAAAATGTACATGCAAATGATACTTTTTTTACTGTTCTGTCAAAGTTGTTTTCTGAAACAAATAACACAATTAGGAATATTGTCTCATTATATTTCAGGTATGATTTTGACTTAAAACATTACCTGCTAGAAGTGAGATGCCTCACTACATAAAATAAAACCTAACCCTGTTGTGACATGCCCTGTAGCTCTTATTAACTGAACTCAAAAGCACATGAAAAAAAAGGGATGGGTGCCCTTACAACCTGTAAAGAGACACAAGTAAGTGCATTATAGTTAATGCGAACAGAAAAAGAAAATTAATTTGTAATGTTTTCTTTAGATACAGTTTGTCAGTTTACAGAGTCAGGACTATCATTGGATATTGTTATGCACACATGATGCATGATGGCATAAGTTTTTATTGGATGAGAGTGTCTATAAATTGTCTTTCAATTGCTAAAACTCAGAAGCTTTAGAAAAAACTTTTCTGATGTCATGTAGGAAGGCCTTATTGTGAAGCGGCTCTCCTTTATTTCCCGTTGTTTTCTGTGCTTTATTTCATCTGGCTCCTAAACAGCTGAGTAACTACTTCTTTAGTGGACAAAAAGTCTCATTGATGGTGACTTGATCGCATCAAGATCATGGCTGTCTCAATGTTCTGTATGATTTTGGGTAATGCTGAAACTGTACTGTACACTTAATGTTAGCGTCCTTGAGCTTGGAAAAGGTGCTATATAAATTAAACATATTATTATTATTATTATTATCATTTGTATTGAAACTCGATTCTGAACGGGGAAAAAAAAAAACATGTACTACACTTTATGCAGCATGCCAACATCGCCTCCCAGTGGCCCACTTTGATAACATGCCCAAACATTTCCTTTGAGACACACTTTCTGTTCTACTGCTTTTCCTCATAAGGATTTATGCTCTGTTGCTTACCAATCCTGCCAAGCAGAGATGCTATATTTGTCAAAAATACACAGTTTAAAGGTAAAAAGTCATTATGTATTCAAATACAACACTTCTTTTGTTCTACAATAGAAACGGATCAAAAATCTATGTAATATGAAGATACTCCATTCAAACCTTTCTCTTAGAAAGATAAAAAACACAAACTTGAAATAACATTATAGTATTTGAAAGGCAATGCTGTCAATGTGCTCAAAAGATTGTTCACAAACATCTATCTGTACAGAAATAAGTCAGTGTCATTTAAGGAACTGTCAAAAGTGACATTTTGAAAGGGAAACCAATGCCATAAAAGGATTTGAAACTATGCATTCATTTACTAGTGCAATAAAGGCTGTTACCTGCAAGGCATATGGTCTTCAAACTTAAATACCTTTTTTAACTTTATGTTAAATTTGACTTAATTTAAAATTGCACAATTTGAATTTCAATTGATTTCAATCCTGCATCTTTAAAGCTCCAGTCCGTAACTTTTTTAAGTTAAAAATAATCCAAAATAATTATATAAAAAAAAACGTATTCTGCCAGTGGTCAAAACTATCTGCTTGCCATAGCTAGATTCAAAACGGTTAGCTTGTAATAATGATTTTAATTCCAGTGGTACTGGTGGGTTTCCGCGGGAAATTCGAGCATGTCTTTGCGTCATGACGTCACACCCGTACACATAAAGAAGGAGTTTCGGCTAGCCGGCTATACTGCGCGTGACGAGATGTTTAGATGTATAGGCTTTTCTCGCAGCACTTTACATAATTAAACTTATGGCATCCAGAAAGATCCAAACAACAATCATCAGTGTCAACTGGAGATTCAGCAGTTATAAAACCCAAAAGACTTCGTACTTCGGATTTAAGGTGGCCAGAGAAAGAGAAAGAAACCGTCTCATGCGAACACAAGGATTTAAACATCAGCGGGGCTTTTGAAAAGTGCGTGAACTCCGTGTTTTGAAGGGGTTCAAAACGGAAGAAGAGACGGCTTTTTTCTGCTGAACAAGTAAGACATTTCAATAGTTCAATCGTGTAACAGTACGTTTTCTTTTTTCACACAGTTATGGAGTTTCCTTTGTTGTGCCTTTCTCGTTTTGCTATTATGGAGAATATGAATTCTGAACTACGCTGCTAACCATAAAACACATTAAATTTAACATTAGTCACGCAATGCTGATGTTGTTAACATGAACAATTTGAGAACAAAGTAGGCTATAATTTGCACGGTTGCTGTAAATCGCGTTGATTAAATCTAACGAAGCTTATCATGTCGAATGCTTTTTCCCCCTTAGTTGGTCAGAACAAAAATGGATGTTACTTACTTGTTCAGAAGACATTTTCTTATGAAAATTCTTATGTTGGTCAAACTTTCAAAAAGTGAATCTGTGATTCTGTATGACAGTATCCACACAGCGCGGTGACTGACAGCAGCACTCGCCTCAAAGCACTGTGTTCATCCGCGCTGTTTAATGACGATTTACAACCCACGTAAAGATAATAATCCTGCGAATCACTGCAGTTACAGATTTCGAACAGAGAGATGGCGACAAAGAGGAAAAGATACGGACTGCAGCTTTAAATATGAATTGTTAATTTTACATTCGGTTTCCTCAATTTAAATTCTGGAAAGGAATACAAATCTAAAAGACATCATCAATTAAATTCTGAATGTGGCACAACACTTAAAAACAAACAGTTAAAACTGTACCTTTATTGTTGGAGGTGAGCATGAAGAGTTGGTCTGAGGGTTTGGCAATCCATCAGGTGCTTTGTCAGTCAGTGACAACAGGTCTAGATTCAGGTCCGAAATGGATTCATAAATATTCTCAGAGTCTGGTGATGGCAGTGGTTCTGAACTTGAACTTTCACTTTCAGGCTCTATTGGGGATTCCAGCTCTGGAGAGTTCCTGTGAGGCCTGGTCTCATTTAGGTTCTTGATGATAGGGAGGTCCACAGGTTTGGCAGGGGTAGGTCTATGGAGGGGGTCGGCTGGGCTGAAGCTGGGAACTCTAAACTTATCAGGCACTGTTTCAGCTGGAGCAGTGCGAGAGCCTAACAGCAGATTGGTAGCTTGACTCATCCTCTTCTTCTGCTGTGAAGAATCTGAGGCAGAACCCGTGTTCAGGGAGAGGAGAGAATCTGAAGGTCTGCCATGTTTGTAAGAAGGGGGCTCATGCAAATCCAAAGGAACACCAAATGTCGACATGCGGTTTTCTGTCTTGTAATTCCCTTTTGAGCGAAGTCTAATTGTCACTTCATCTGGTTTGCGTATCTCTGTGAGGTCAGGCACCGCAGGCCTCACGTCAGGGGCTGGAGGCTCTCTTAAGTCCAGAGGTGAAGGGATGTTGGGTGGAAGCTCTTTTACATAATTAGCAGGGATGTAAAATGGCTTGGCTCGTTCATCTTTGCGCACATGCCACCAATGATCGTTTGTTTTGTCCAGGAGGATGTAGCGCTCGTTGGGTTTAATGGACACCATGTGGCCATCCCGGCCCTCATATTCATATTCAAACTCCACCAACACTAGGCCCACACTGTGTAAGGACGTCATCTTACCCGTCTCACCCATTTACCCTTTAAGGGAATCAAGCTGGAATCAAGGCTCAGGAAAGGCCCTCCTGTGGGTAGAAAACAAAAGAAAAGGATTATAAAAAGCAGTTTGAGCACAAGACACAGATTACTGTTTAATTGAGTCATAAGCAAAGAGCACCTGCTCTATAATATAAGTGCAAAACAACAGCACTTTGGCTGAACTTTCTACTGGTCCAGCTGTTCAGGAATTGCCCAACAAGCCTGAATGAGATAGATCATACTACTCCTTACCCCGTTTTTAAAAAAAAACTATAATAGGTAGACATAACAAGGTGCAGTCACTACAAATGCTGCAATGCATTCCGCAGTAAAGGCAAGCACAGTATTTCATTTAATCACACAGTACCACATTCCAAGAGCTCTTGATCATTTTAAGCTGACAGTGGAGATCTCTAATCTACACCTTTTGTCAACAGCTGATGTTGAACTTAAGAGAATTTAAGGCAGGGAACTGTGAGGTAGTGCTCTGATATTGACCAGTAACTGAGGTTAAATGCCATCGTTCTGATCAATGACCTGAAGCAATCAATCTAGCGTGGCCTCCACAGCCACTCAAGTAAGATTAGAGCACCCCTTTTTGCAATGCTCTTGTAGTTTAAATAAACAGGATAAGATTGTAGAAAATTGCTTAATTTAAATGTACAAATCAGGGCTGTAAGCGTAAGTAGATTGCAGAACCATTGCCACCAATGGTCTTTAATATGATCAACTTAGCTCACAATGCTTTTGAGTAACGCAGCCCAGATCATTCGGATTACTATATATATATATATATATATATATATATATATATATATATATATATATATATATATACACACAATAGTCAACATTTCATGTATAACTTTCATCAAAGTTATACATGAATTTTGAACAATACCCGCCGTTCTTAGGACAACTTTGATGAACTTTTTTGATCCACTTCTTTTTTGATACTACTGTATATGTGATATATATATATATATATATATATATATATATATGTGTGTGTGTTTATAAAATTATATTAATTGACAGTTCATCTTGTTTACTTAGTCCTCAAAGTAAAGTACTGTTAAGAGATTCACCCTCGACTCAACAGTGGTTTAATGTTTGCTAAGCATCCTCTATCGCTTGTTAATCTTTTGTATGTGGTTTGACTACTGCCTGTAAAGGAAAGGAAATTGACTGTAATACGAAAGACAGATAACAGCAAAGTGTCAGTAGTCAAGGTGCTATTTGGATTCAGCTGCCAGCAAATTATGTAGAAATCCATCTGAGACATTAAGGTACAGACAAAGGAAATTATGTCATTGTCATTCTAAGGAACATTGGCTACCTTCAAATCGGAATAGAATTTTTGACAAGTTTCCTGCTGTTTGCGCATAACAATTCTCCTACATTGGTTATTTATTTGTTTTAAAGAGCAGACTTAATATTTATCCATTTCTGGTCATAATTTGGAGTAAAAGAGCATATGAACCATTGTGCCGTGCGGCTTATCACGCAGTAAAAATGCCTCCTTCCCCTTGCTGAGAAGGAGAGAGGAAGACTGGGTTGCATTGTCAGCAACACAAATCAGCTTTCTACTGATTTGAGATGTGTGTGTGTTCCTCTTAAAATGTCAATCCCTCACACCCAATGTGCCATGATCTTTGTAAACATCTAATGTTCCAAGGATCTTATATGTAGTCCTTTTATGTCTAAACACCACTCTTAACCACAAAGCAAACACATGTGCTCTGGGACTATTTTCATTAGATAAAGCAGCATTTCAGACAGTATCAGGTCAAAATTTACAGTATTAAAAAGGGTGTCTCTTTAGAATTTCTTGTCACATCTGATGTTTTTATTTTATGAGAGTGAGTGACAGAGCCAGCTGTCATGAGACTTGGTGTTTTTAAGTTTAAAAAGCTTTTAAGTTTTAGATAGTTTGGTAAATTTGTATTTAGTTTATTTATTTCATTATAATTAATAAATTAACCTGTGAATCAGAGTGGAAACACCTTTCTGCAATTCAGTAAATTTCTCTTCATGTAATTCAAATTACAACTTCCTGTCAGGGATGGCTAAAGAAATTCATATTCCAACTCCTCAACTGAAAGGAAGCCTATTCTTCAATTATGAATTTACAAAGTCTGAGAAACTCTCAAAAGCATTTCATTTGTGGGATATGAAAAAACACCCTTGATGTAAGCAATCTGCAGACAGATTGGTTCAGTGAAGCACCCTTACGGCCACTACTGCACTGGAATGTAATGTGATTTGAAAAAAAAAAAATCACAAAATAATTTTGCACTCATTTGTCACAAAAATATTATTTTAACTATTTAGGAGACTGGGAATTGGTTGTCTCCCAACAAAAAATAAGGCAAATTGAAATGAATTGCTCTTAGCAATATGAAAAGGAGAAAAATCCATGTAGTCTACAGAAGACTTTATCAGCCTCTTGCCAAAACAACATCAGCTGCTGTTTTTTAACAAGTCAAGACATGCCTCCCGAGAGACAAACGAGACAAAGAACACCACCCTTGTACACTTGAAAAAGCTAACCAAGAGAGAGTTTGTAGACATACAGCAGTTCTTCCTTAAATAGGGAAGTAAATGGTAGGCCAGACCACCTTCTCGATTTATAAACCAGGGGGTGGCAATAGATCGAGAGGAGGCCTTGTGGTCCAAAGAAGCACATTCATTCCACAATCCAAGGAGGGAGTGGCCAAAAGCACTACTATACATTTGATTCTGAGAATATATCTTCTTCATACTGATATGCTGTTATGCCAACTTAGATCTCAGACTGGATACTTAATGTATTTCACAAACAGTTCACCTTGGAAGGGGAGAGCCAGAACCTGTTTCACAACTTTTGAGTGGAGTTGAACAGCAGCAAAGCAAAAATGACAGAAACATCAATGTGTGATTCATCATGTTGGAGCGGTTTAAAAAGAAATCACCTTGGAATCTGCACAAGCTGTCTTTGGGAGGAGGGGTGTCCTCCTTCCAGTTGAAAATGGCTGTTAGTGTAGAACAATTGGAGGAGGCCGTTCCTATTTAGACAGTGTTTAAACACGGAAACTCCTTGTTTTTCTCTAGCCTGACTTGCTTTGACCTTGCTGTGCTGTCTGGATCTCTCACAGGATGTTCATGGCAGGGGGGAAAATGGTTCTCTATGTGATGTGTTCACTCACCCTGCAGCACCCGGTCATTTTTAGAATTAGATTTTGGGCTGTCCTAAGACTTCATATTATCCCCTGCCACATGTTGTCAGTTCAAGGTCTTCAACATCCTCATTTTGTTTTAAATAGTCTTTTTCTATATGTCATGTACGGAACATAAAAATACAAGAACAAAAAATATTAAAAGCTATTGTCTTCCCCTCCTCTTCCTTGTTACATTTTTGAGTGTGCCAGAGACTGTGTACATGCGATATTAAAAAATAATTGAGGAACCAAATAGTTCAGATAGCTTTGTTTAATAAACAGTAACTTGTTTGTACAAACTTGTAGGTTTGATGTCAATAATCTCCAACTTCATTGCATGCATGAATTGTGATATAAATGCAATGAGATGCGAAAGTTTTGGCGGATGTGATTTTCAGCCATTAACAACTTTGGTCGGTTCATCATGCAGAGCTACTGTATAGCTTCAGAAGACTTGGAATTTAGTGCTCCTTTCATATGGACTACTTTCTGTCAAACATTGCCTTTTGTGTTCCGTAAAAGAAAGAACATTTTACAGGGTGAGTAAATTTTCATTTTTAAAAGTTAACCAGTAAACCAAACTCAGATGTGTACAGTAAAAATGCTTGCAATTCAAGATTCTAAGCAAAACCTGCTGTGCTTTCAGATTTGAACCCAACCAAAGCAGTAGCCTCAGAAAGTCAGAGGTGTTATTTTGAGGTGTGCACTCAGCGAAGACCTGAGGCAGAACTGAGATTCTCTTCAGAATGGTCCGTGCACCTCAGATAGCTGTACCAGATCTGTGGTGTTCCAGTTTTCCCTCCACACCCACACCCACCAGCCCAGTCACCTCAGGAATGCAGAAAGAGCGCTCTCACTCTGCGAGGTCTACGCACTAAATGGTACACACTGTGAATGGATTTAGCATGCTTACAAAATGGTTCTTCTTATCTTTCTTAACAGGTTCCATTGAGCTTATGAAGCTGAATTATAAGGTCGGACAACAATGAGAACCAAAGACTGACGCTGAATGACAACGTTTCTCACATCACAATTTCACCTATCAGCTTGACAGCTTCAGTTGATCGACGTGCCACTGACACAAAACAAAACTCTTATAATTATCACAGATTTGAGGACATAAAACTCAACACCAGAAATCAAGTGCTCAGATTTTTTGGTCTCACATCACAGAGTAAGATGGCACGCTGTGCCTTCTCTTTGTAAACTGCAACAAGTTGCTGTTTATGTGGGCAGACAGCTGTTTGTCACGCAATAAGACAGAAACAGAAAATAAGGAAGGTAGCTGTTATTAGTAACTCGAACAGAATAAAAAAAAGGCTAAAAATAAAGCAAACTACCTTAAGAATGAATACAAAGTCCATCTAAAATAAGCAAATTCATAGAAGATTACCTGCTGAGGTAGGATCGGAACACCATCTTCCCCACACCTTTGTTTCCTTCTCTTCTTGTTCAAGTTAAATTTGTAGGATCCGTCTCCTGTTTTTCTCCGTCTTCAAATCTCTTTTCCTTTCTTAGAAGCTCACTCCTCTTAATATCTTAGACGGCATCGGTCTTTTGCTGCCACCGCTTTGACGTTCCAGCTCTGACAGTTGTTGCTCAGGGCCAGTGTGTGTGTGTGTCTGTATTGTATGTGGGTGGGTGTGTATACACGCTAGTGCTTTGTGCCAGTTTCAGCTTGCCTGCCTCCTCGGTCTGCATTCATTTCCTGTTCCAGCACACACATGCACAACTTCAGAAGATTCAGACAGTTAACAACAGGAAGAGAGAGATGAGGGTATGGTTCAACTGAATCAGAAAGAAAAGCCTTGTAATGTGTAACCAATTGTTATTCCACAAAAGCAATAAAGCATTACTCAGACAAGACGATGTTCTTTATTAAATAAATGTTTCAAGCTGTGTTGTGCCTCATCAACAAAATCAGGTCACTGGAAAGGTGGTGGGTGAAGTCAATCAACAAAGCAGTAGACAGGAACACACGACTGAGACTGCAACTGACAGGATGTTTTAACTTAAAATAGTTTCCTCACCTGCAAACAGAAAGTTCTTCTTTCATCTCTGCTGTTCACTCGTGTGAGTAGAGGCTTATTGACATCTTTCAGGTCCCAGTGAGCAGTAAAAGGTTTTTTTTTTATGCTACCCTGTAAAGGCTCCCTTGTGGCCGTTTCATGCAATCCTGATGTCAACTACTGAATGGAAAACATCAGCTATTGCAAGAGTTCCCCATGCAGTTTCTATGAATAACACCCAGTGGTTGATTCACACCCATTTGGGCTCTGGTGGTTTCTTCCCTCCCTTCCAGTTTGCACAACCTCAGATCACGTTTAGGCTGGATAAAACGGAACGACCACTAAATATAAATAGGCTACCAAGAAATCTCACACTGAACATTAAGGGCGAACCAGGAACCAAGAGGTTGATACTCGCCCTCAGATGTGTAAGCAGGACAACATGCCCCACCCCTGTAGTAAAAAAGTATGTTTTCTGGGTGGGGCACGTGAAGATTTACCATTGCCTTTGGACTCTGTACTTTCAGTGATGTCCCATTTTAGCATGGTCTTGGAATGTGGTGCTCTCCTGGAATAAAAATGGTGGAATTTTTTGTTAGGATAATTAGATGAATCAGCTGTAGTTAGGTCATAAAACAATGTTCTAGTTAGCCTACTCAACATTTAGTGAACACAGTCACATGGTGCATTTAGCATTGTTGGAAACTGAGTGTGTTGAATGATGCATGAACAGCTAGTTTATTTAAAATTTTCACAACTGTTACAAACATGTATGCATGTTATAGTTTCCTCTCGATTGTTTATTTATTTATTTACTTTTTTTCCCCAAAATAATGTACTGCCTGGCCTGCAGTGAAACATTAATTCATTTTCTTTTATAGATTTGCTAGCACGTAATAATAAAAAGTGCTGCTAGTGCCATTTATAAATATTAAATGAGCAAAATGATTCACAGGCAGAGTGTTTTTAATTGTCCTGATTTGGCTAAAATAGTGGGCCCGCCCCCCTGACATGTTTTTGTACTTTACAGAGCTTAAGGCTGTCACTAGACCGGTGTGATTTTTTAGTCATGTCAGGTAGTTGGGGCATTTTCTGTTCCCTGGAATTAACAACTCCAAGAAGTACATTTTTGGCAAACAAATTATTGTGTGACCATAAACATTCTATAATGACGTAGGCATCTGTAAGGTCTCTCTGTTTTGGAAGGGTGATGAAGTATAAACATATTTTATAAACACCATTTACAAAAGTTAGAAAAGCTCAAATGTATTAGTAATCATAATCAGTGGTATTTTTGACACTCTCCCTGCAAGGCCTAGAAACATTAATGTGTCTGCCTTTCTTTCTCCCGGCAGTCCTCCCTCTTCCTCATCCTCTGGAAGGAAGCCCACTCTTTCCTGTTCAGTAAGCCAGCCACATGAAGTTTCCTCTTCTCAAACGATCTCATTTCCTGCGAGGATTCACATGTCCTTGCCCCAAACACACTGGAGTAGAGGACAGGTATAATGTGTGAGTTTTGGATGGTGCATAGGCTATCTTACGACTTATGATCTTAAGACACACTGAGACATAGTTACATCACAAAGGCAGGTGGTGTGCAACTCTTGATCAGGTGAACATGTCCCAGTAGTCTATATCTTTATATATTGTTTCCCCCTCATTTGAAGTAGATGATCTTTTGTAATCTAGCAAAACATCTCACTTTTTTTTTCAGCCCAAAGTAGACGTTTTGCCCCTCTGTCAGATTCAATTTTGCAATTCACTGGACACAACAGTTTCCTAATTCAGGCAGTTCTCATCTCAAAAAGGCCTACTCATTATATGATATATAGTTGAGCCATAAGTTTAAAGACCAGGCAAACAGTGCCACGGCATAAACTTTTATGCTTAACATGTTTCTTATTTGTCAATTAGGCATATGTGTAGGCCTACAATAAGAGGACAGTTAACAACACAAACGGTAAATAGATACAGATAGGTGTTATGTAGCTAGGCTACATTTATTTCCCAAAAAACGGTTTCTCGAGAGCATACGCCTTGCATGTAAATGTAAACTGTGTGAAGCTACGAAAATCACGGACTTGTTTAATTGTCACGACAGCAATGTTGCGCTGCCCTCTACCGACGGAGATTAGCAATAACGCAGTAATAACAAATTCAAAGGATTTTAGATACGACACATTAGCCCACATTAACACAGATTTTGTGCTGCTGTACGGTTTCAATTCAATTCAAATTTATTTGTATAGCGCTTTTCACAATACATATTGTTTCAAAGCAGCTTTACAGAAAGTGCATTTCAGAAATGTAGCCTACATAGAAAAATACAGTTAATTATATTAATTTAGGGCATAATAACATATCGCCGGCGTTGAGTCGTCTTTTCACAGGCGTCGAGTCGTCTCTTCGCAGGCGTTTAGTCATCTCATCACATGTGTTGGGGCATCTGAAGTCTCCGTGAGAGGCTGGATACAAACTGGAGCTGAGTTGACGAACGCTATTTACCTGTTTTAATAGCTTTGTGTTAGCCTAGAAGCAGCATACAATTCTAGGCTACTTCTAGCTTCTTTTTTCTTCTTCTTTTTTTTATAAAGATAGGCTACTCAACGATTTACACTAAATTATTATACATTTCAAAAAATAAATAAATAAATTCATTATTAGCTTTAATTTAGTCATGTTCAATGGGTTTTAATAGCTTATACCATATTAAGGCCAAAGGTCCTTAGAGCAACAATGTTTTGGCCCTTTCTAAATTGAACATAAGAAACTGTGTCTGGGATTTTGAAATGAATTGCCCGACAAAACAAAGAATGGACTATTTTTCCATTGAACTGAAATAGACACTTAAGGCCTACATTTTCCTTTTTTTTTATTATATATTTTTTTATGTGACCAGTGTGTATACAGGCTATAGCCTATAGGCGTACAAAGCAGTCGTTTTTATTTTTACAAGACTTCGTCGTCCATGAGGCACAGCGTGATTTGCACAATATAGGCTATGTTCCAGGATTAACATCCATTGCCGATTCTTTGAATGATAAAAAAGAAAAAAGGGAAATTTACCCAATTGCAATCAACGTTTGTTTTTGACGAAGTATGGAAAATAGCTATCGTTTGCGTCATAATGCAAATGGCCATGGAATATTGCTAAAGGAATTCTAAGGGAGAGCGCAAAAAACTCGTCACTATGAAAACTGAAAGTGAAATGCTGTAGGTAAACAATGCCCTGTAACAATGAGGGATTACCATAGCCCGAATTGTGTCATCATCTCCTCACACAAACGGTTTGATGATGTCACCCTAATCAAGAACGCATCCAATTGTTTTTAAATAATGTTGCACAACTTTGTGCATGATTTTATCTTTTTTTTTAAATAAACTTATTTTAATAAATAAACTGTAACAGTGCAAAAAAGTTTAAATACTCTTTTTTGACAAAATGATCTAACGCAAGATTTTACCTAAGGAAGAAATAACAGAAGATATAGGGATATTGATAACGTACAGTAAATATCCTCATTTTGACATCATACTTCGTTGATGATGTCGTTGCGTCGCCTAGCTAATAGTGATTATGAAATTCCCGATTTTTTTTCAGATTAAGTGAGATCACTCTCACTGTGTTTTCAAGATGTGTAAACTGCTAGATCTCATATGCATCTCATTGCGTTTTCAAGGTGAGAAAATTAACTCCCACCGCGATGAAGAGAATCACGTGATTCTTTCATTTTCTCCTTCTGAAACTTCCAATTGTAATACCGCTGGGCTTCCCGCGCTGTGCACCTGGTGAAGGGAATGCAAATTACTAGGGTTTTTTTCTTTGGAGAACACTATATAGCCAAGGTCTTGCCATGAACTAGTATCCATATCGTAGTATTCACATCGTGCACTGCACTGTAGCCTACTGCTGTCAATATTAAACCATCATGAGAACTTTTTTGTGTTTTCTGTGGCTTATCATTTTCCCGAGCCTATTTGCAGAATCCTTTATTCGGGAGAGAAGGAATTTGTTTGAAACAATTACACTTCTGCATAAACTGGTAAGTCTAATTTATTATTTCTATCTATCTATCTATCTATCTATCTATCTATCTATCTATCTATCTATCTATCTATCTATCTATCTATCTATCTATCTATCTATCTATCTATCTATCTATCTATCTATCTTTTTTATTATTATTGATAAACACACACATGGTCCATTAATCTATTAATACATATTTACTGGATTTATTAGAGAAAAGTGTCTGGGTTAACAATATAACACACTGTATCACGAAATAAAATTACATAGGTCTACTTTATTAAGGTTAATGTGAATTTATACTTTTGTTCATTACTCATTTATTTTATGAATGTTAAATAGTTTACAACTTGTGTATTACATATTAACCATTAGGTTAACAAATAGGCCTACTTAACAGTATGGGTATTGTTTTAATATGGAGCTGAAAACCATCAAGTAAAATGATGGTTAATTGTTAATTCATGATACCTAATGCTTTAATGTTATCAAAACTGTGACCGCAATATTTCATAGCTTAGTGGTGAAGAACACACACCTTGACCCTGAACATTGACATGTTTCTTTTTCTCTCTCAAAGGGCCCAAAAGAATGCCTGGCAGAGGTGGAAAATGCCACGTATGATCGGTTCACGAGTCTTCCCAAAGAGGTAGCTAGACAACATATCAAGAAACAGTACACAGAAGTGTTAAATCCTGGAGACATATATCTTCCTGCGGAGTTTTATTTGCAGCCTCACTCAAATGCATCTCCCTGTGCTTTTTAATGAGCCCAAAGATCTTGATTTGCTGGTTAGGTGTCATCATGATAAAACTCTGCAGCGAGGATGATAGCCAGAATTATTTAGCCCTGTTGGAGTTACTCATTGTTTTTAGCATCCTGATGGTTTGACAATTAATGTTTTGTCTTTTTCTTGTGCTCAGGAAATATTTCATGCACTGAAGATATCATATAACTCTACCTTCGAGCTCTTCAAAAAGAAAAGAACTCATGGTCACTGGAATAACAATGCATTCCAAAATCTAATGGAGCACCTCAACCGGCAAGCTGTATCAAATAGCGTAAGTCACGGGCATTAGTTGGGCTTAATCAACATCGACTTTTCATTTTTTGACAATTCTTGATTGTAATACAATGTATCGTTAATATCTAGGTCCCGCCGATGAGCTCTGAACTTGAGACGCTGGTCAAGAACTTCAAGTTGCTTGATAATTTTCTTACACAGCAGGTGAGATATGCAGCAAATAACGCGCTATATCATAACGAAAAAGGTTTAGCAGGTGTTTGTACCTTCGTAGTTCAAATCTGTGATTAATGAGTGACTTTTCTTTCCTCCAGAACTTTAGCCGCTGCGCGTGGGAGATTGGGCGCGATGAGATTTTGTTCGTCATGAACCACTTCAGAAAGACCACACATAGAAAGAGACACAATTAGCCTACATACATGTAGTAAATTAATTGTTGGCCGTAATTTATTTATATGCTATTTTATTGTTTTTCTTTTGCACTTTTCACTTTTCATTGAAGTCGAGTTCGAACGAACGAATGCATGAATGAATGAATGAATTTCCAGATTAATATTAATATGCCATTGTCTAATGGCTCTGCACTTATTTATTAGAATAGAACAACTAATCTACACTAAAGGATCTACATCGAGCAAATAAACTATTGTCTGTTATTATGTAAAGCACTGTTTATCCAGGTGCTATGAAGGAATGTTTTGTTTACATGTTGAATGAAGTATACAATGAATGTCTAAATGTATTTGTAACAAATGTGTAGCCACATAAGACGATGTGGGAATCTGTCACTTCACCAATGTTCATCAAAAATAAATGCAAAAAAATGTACACTTGTCTCTCATATCATTCAGTACAAAATGCTCCCCAGTTCCACACCCTAATTTTTTCTCCTGACCAAAGATAGCACAAAATCTAATCTCGGTATACTTTTGATGAATAGCTATTTTTAATTTGGTCATTTCATCTGAATATCAACATTTGTGAGATTTAGTCAGCCAAAACAGTTTTGAGGTTAATTGATCTAATATTGTCTCTCTGGAAAATAATAATCTATGACATTGTATTATGTTGAATATCAACGGTTTTTGTGTCTATTTATTAATGAGGGATTTGTGGACACATTCATGTTTTTAGATTTGTGGAGTAAAAGTTATAGGCTATAGTTTTTATTTTGAAGTAAAAAGATAAAATCAGACCATTGGGGTAAGATGAACCAACCCCAGGTGCAAAGTGTCATGTTGTTACTTGTGTTATTATTTTTATACGGAATACTTATTGTGATTCATGGGGTTATTATTTAATATTTCCATTAATTAGTTCAGACATCTTGGCTTTTATTAAAACCTAGGTTAATTGAGTGAAATCATTCTATTTGATTTCAGTGTTTCTATTATGACATATCTTCAATTAAAATATGGGCAATTAAATATGTAAATATGTATTTACAGGCCTGTAAGTAATAGAATAATTGAAGCTTTCAGATAAATCTCATGGAATTCTGCTTTGTCCGTCAACGGTTATTCAATTATTCAACTAAACTGTCAAAATAAAATTTAAAATGGCTAATTTAGTATTTTACATTAATGACACCTTAAAAATATATAAATATTAATAATAAACATAAAAAGTGATTTATACATTCTGTATGTATTTGACATCTATATGACATTTTGTGCTATAACAACTAAATTAGCAAATGTTTCTACTTATTCCCTATAACAATACATTGTTTGATGCATCATCATCATCCAGCACATGCTAAACTTATATTTAAATAGTTGCAGTTTAAAAGTAGGGGGAGAGTGTCCATGGTTGTAACATTTTTGACAGTTCTTTTTTTTGTAAAAAGTACTTTTTAAGCTTTTTATTCAACACAGACTTTTTAATATAATTGGTGTGTGTGTGTGTGTGTGTGTATGTTACATTAGCATCATCATAATAACACTGAATAGTGTGTGTGTGTGTGTGTGTGTGTGTGTGTGTGTGTGTGTGTGTGTGTGTGTGTGTGTGTGTGTGTGTGTGTGTGTGTGTGTGTGTGTGTGTGTGTAAGCAAGCACTTTTTGTTACTGTCAGTCAAAGTAATTGGCAATAAAAAATGCCATAAAATGCTGCCACAGATCTTACTTTCCCAGCTCTTATACATCATAAATTATGCTCTCTTCAAAATGCTGAGAGACACCCCCCAGTTTGTCTTTCTCCTCCAAGACCTATACATACTGAAATTCAAATAAAAATACAACTTACTTGGGGTAGGTTGTAATATTCTTCATTGGTGTAATAACTAACCTAGAGACTTGCTGTTACAACTAACTCAGAGTCCTGTAGCCAGCTCACCTTACAGCTAACAGCCAAAACACCAACAACTTGCATGCAAAATATCTACACACACACTATAAACATAATTTAACTTGAGTTTAACTACAAAGCAGGAATTGAAAAAAGTTTAAAAAAAAGTTAATTTCTTAGATCTGCGTTGTCTGCTCACATGTGGAATAAGGACAAAACCGAGCATGTGTGAAGTGAATCAGCTGATTTGTAACTTGTCCCTGGTTGGAGAAATAGGAAGTGTTACAATTATACCGTATTACAACCATCCCCGGTCTCCCCTAAATCAACATTGTTCTTAAGGGGGGGCATCTTCCCCCATGTTACCCCGTGTCTATTCACGCAAGTTGTCACGTTTTGCAGGGTGGGTGGGCATATTTTTGAAAGTCAATTCCGGCATTGACATAGGCCTATAGCATACTGAAACAAACAACAACATCAAAAAATTTGAACATGAACATTTACAAAGAGAAGAAGAAGGCGAAGTCGTCATTACTTTTATTCACTGTTTGTATTGCTTTGGGCTCTGCTGTCATGCAATATTCGACAGAAAAGGTGGAGGCGACAGCTGTGGTCGAAAGACACCAAACACAGGTATCGATGAGTGAACTAGCCTATGAAACCAGGAGCCCGCTCACTCTCACGAAAAGATTTTCTCCCCCTAACTTTCTTTCCTTCCTTCACTTTTATAAGACCTAATACTGCGAACAAAATGTGTGCTGTAAGGAGGACTTCGTGATACTTTTGGTCTCACTCTCAGGTCAACAAACTGCGGTCAAAACTCAAAACACATCCTCCTTACATCTGTTTCAATTTATAAGGCTCTTTATGATTTTATCTTGCCATCTACAGGCAAATAGGTGCAATATCTTCAAAGTATACGGTGCTCAATGATTGGAATAACGCATGCGTAGCCTATATGTTGCCCAAAGATGTTTCATTTAATCGTCAAAAAGTGAATACTGAGTCATTAACTTATCACCCAGTAATAACCAACGAGAGAAATTCGAATATGTGTTAAATAATCCCAGAACAAAACACTGATCTTGTAGAATCTTTAGAAAGTTAGCCTACATTTGATTTAGCCTATCTGTGGGTGCAATGTTTTATCTTTTTCTTTGGTTTGTTTTAAATTAATGGACTTTGGCCATTATTCAATTGATTAAATTGTCACACTCGATTGAATAATTGTTTGTTTTAACAACTGTTTATTAATTTTGTATTTTTTATTTTGATTGTCATACCATTTCATCAGGGAAATAGATATAGCCTTAGCTGGTTGCAGATACCATATTCCAAACCACCTTTTTGTTTACAAGCTCGAAATCAGTTACCCTGTTCCAAAACACAAAAGGTCTATATAAATAGGATTAATTAATTAAAATAGGACCTGGATTAATTCTTAAATAATATAAAAAAAATTCACAAAAAAAAAACCCAACAAAAATGCTTTTAAATATTTTTTGAAAGTAAATATTGAGATGTGAAATTACAAACGATGTGAAATTACATTTTATTGCACCATGAGAAAGTGCGTGAACTCTCAGTGAGAGCTTGAGGTTACGTCAGCACGTTGACGTTGCGTAATGCGTTACATCACGTCTCCCAAACAGAAAGTGTTTTTCTATACAAGCCCGCAGACCATCTCCCAGTTTGGAAACTGCAAACTGGATCTCGAAATACTTTGGAATCAGGTAATTATTTTGAACCGTGGGATTGCTTTAATTTATACGAACTTGCTAATAGCATTGATTATTGTATTGCACGTAAGTTTGTGTGCTTTTTGCGTTGGTGTCTAAGCTAAAGACGGTTAAAGAGTAGGCTAAATTATAACTAGACTACATATAATTTTTACCTTTGTCTTTTCTAAATAGAAAAATTAATTACTTTTAAAAGTATTTTCGATCAATGAAAGCAGACCAGATAAGTTATTTTGCGTGATAGCCTATTTGCAGGAAAGTGAAAGTGGGAATGCCCGCGCTTCGATTTTGCTTTCCAAACTCCAGAATAAATCCAAGACACTGCACCATGTACCTGCAACATTCTCTCGAGCGACAGTGTAGAAAACAACTGCATTCATACAAAGATGAAGACTCAAATGTGGACGTATGTTTTTGTGATATTTTTTACTCTGCAGAGTAAATGCTCAGCTTGCGAATGGCTCGGCCAATACAGGAGGATAAGCAGCGATTCTCTGACTCTCCTTAGGGAAATGGTAAGTAGCTACACTTTAAATCTTTATGCTTTATTTTTGAATTATTGTAATAGAATAGTGACAGTGACGCTATTCTACATTAGACTGCTGCGCACAGCTGTGCAACTTTAATTTAAAAGACTTTTTCAATGATTTGTGCAACAGATTTGTTACTTTTTTTCTTAGAAATAGCCTATCCAATTGTTAACGCAGCCTTACAGAATCATTCACAACTATTTGGAATACAATGCAATGTTTTCCTATTGTGGGATGTTGTCACTGATTCGCCTTTTACAGTCCACTGTAAAAGTGTTTCATCATTATGTTACATCTTTGCTTCTAACCTTAATTTTTGTCACAACAATTTCTGTTGTTAACACTCTATTTGATAAGTTTCTATTTCTACATGCTCTAATCTTCATTCGTAATTCAACGTGGTTGCCAAAGTGCAATGCACTAACCACTGCGGGTTGGCACCACTTTGACTTAATAAAAAATTTAAGGCAGCAATTAAAGTTTTTGTAGGTTGATGTCTGTAACAGCAATGTCAAATATTCAGCATGTGGTACATATAAAAAAAAAAAAACTAATTGTACTCTGTCTTATAGGGTGGAAACTATCCCGATATCAATGTGCCATTTCCAGGGCGACTGTACAACTGGGTAGACGACGCTAAGGTTTGCAGAACTTTTCTCCTTATTTAACAGCACTTGAACAGAGTGCAAAAATTCCATCCCATAAATAACACTTAAGTTATCAGAGAAAATCTTGCATACAATGCTCATAATCTGAAGGACCCAGTTACCTACACAGGCATTATGTCTCCTTACAGGTGGAGGACCAGGTGAAGTTTCTTGTCCTGACCTTAGATCATATCATCCGTCTCATGGACGCCAGGGAGAACATGAACGCAGTGCAATGGAACCTAAAGACTGTAGACCGTTTCCTATCTGACCTGAACAGGCAGTCGTCGGAACTTAAAGAATGTGTAAGTATTGTGTGAAAGTGCATATGGAAACTGTTTTCAGAATACCATTCTATGAATTGCATATTATCCTACATTTTTAATCGAAGAGATTATCAGGTTTCACTTTATTTTGATGCTCCCTTTAACACATTCTGTTGACTACAAGTATCGTTGCACCAACATGTCTACTACTCTCATTAGAGTGTTAGAGTGTAGAGTATTAGTAGACTGGTAGGGTTAGGATTAGAGTAAGTTTACATGTACTTGCAAAGTTACTTATAGTCAGTACAGAATAATGTCTGTTGGAGGAGCATCACAATAAAGAGTTAGCAGATATAAAGCAGTGCGTCTACTAATACTCTAATGAGAGTTAGTTGACATGTAGTTGCAAAGTTACTTATTAGTCAACAGAATGTTCAAAAGGGACCATCAAAATAAAGTGTTACCGATTATCGTAATAGTAATAGACCACAAACTCAGAATGAATTACACTCAACCATTTAATGTACAGTAATATTGCATTAATCGTACAAATGTTGATGTTCGGATGAAAAGGCTGAATGAATAAGAGCCTAACTATTCAATGAATGTGTTTAAATGAGATTTGGAGACTGTCAAAAAGATATGATTGTAGAAGTATATAGACGCTGTAGAAGTATTTTTCATCATGTTAACTTTGTCATTAATGTTATTTTTGCTAATTGTTTACGTTTTGTTGATTTTTTTTCAGGTGGCTCGATACCACCACCCATCACATAAGGAGTCCTACGAGATAAAGATAAAAAGCCACTTCAGGAAATTAAAGAAGATTCTAAAGAAAAAAGTAAGTTTGATAGCATATTATATTATATGCGTACCATAAGAGGCATATCATATTTGCTCAATGTAAATGTTACTATATAAAGAGTAAAAGGAATGATTTTCTTCCATGTAAAATGTAGTCAGCTGTACTCAGCTAAAGTTGTGCCTCTTGTGTTTTCAGGAATATAGCGCCCGGGCATGGGAGCAGATCCGGAGAGCTGTGAGACATCACCTTCAGAGGATGGACATCATCGCAAGCAATGCCACGTCCTCTCTAAAAGTTTAACAGATGATCAGACATAATGACTGAAGAATGGCTTGTGATACAGTGGTGTTGGAGTGTTGAAAAGTTACTGCAAACAATGCCTTACAAACAAAAACTGAAAAAAATTGAATGTAACAAAAGTATTTATTTACATGATTGTATTTCATTGCAATGAATGTAGCCTAGAGTTGTATGTTTTGCCTAATGGCTGGTGTTTTTCCTATGAAAACTTGAAGTAATCGGATCAAGCAAGCTAATTATTTTGCTTACCTGTGAAATTCCTGTGAAAAATTCTGTTTTATTTATTTTTATTTTAGTGCAAATAAGCCTCTGTGCCTAAAAAAACGATTTTTTTGCTGAATCTGAACAAATGTTATAAAAGAAACAAGCAAGCTATGCAATTCAGATCACCAGCATTTATTAACTGTCAGTCAGTTGTTATGTGTTTGTGAATGTTTCTGGTATTTATTATACTTAATTTAATTTACATTGTGCAATTTTGTATCCCAGGATATTTACTGTTTTCATTTGTACTGTTATTTATAGTTATTTATTTATTTGATCTGTTTGCTCTCAAAATGTTTTTGTACTTTTAAAGTTATTTATTTATTTGATATGTTTGCTCACAAACTTTTTGTACTTTCAAATAAAAATAAGTTATTGAAACTAATGTTTCTTTCATTTGGTTTACTAAATCCATTGAACTGTCACACACCAGTATAAGTATAGACTGTTGACAATTCCTTACTTGTCCTATACTTTTCTAGTATGAATCTTCGGAGATTGAAAATGTTATTTGAGGTATTTAAAAAGGTTTGCCTAATGGCATCAAAATGCAAACCCATTTTTTATTCTAATTTCCAGACATTTGTATAATGCAAATGCTTTGTCTATAATGCAAACGTTTAACTATAATGGACATCACACTATAGGTGCAGAAATTGCGTATGCAACATATTAGTGCTTTTCTCGTACGGGGGCGCCAAAGTCCTATCTGGATCGACAAACAAACTTTCTTCTGTGAAACACAAAAGAAGATATTTCGTCTTTTTTTTTTATTTTTTTTATGAGCGTCAAAAACAACCGAAACATCTAAAATAAAGTCATACAGGTTTTGGAATGCAATAAGTAACTGATTACAGAGTTTACATTTTTGAATAAATTCGAACTGTTGTCGAAGAATTAAGTGTTAGGCCTACATTTTTGTGCGACTGTATAGGCTACCAGTAGGACGCATTAATGTTTCACACTTAATCTAATGATTGTCAGTATGCTTTTGTTTTCATGGTGTTTTAAGATTTTTTTTTAAAATGGGCTGTAAACTAACACTGTTTTTCCCAGCTTTAAATAAAACAAAGATGGGAGACCGCGGGGATGGTTGTAACATTTTTTACCTTTCTGTCTATATCTTGGAGAACTTTTAAGCCAGTATGTTCAAAATGTGATTCAAACAAGTTACACGTGTCTGCTATCATAACTTTTATCTTTGCAACACAAACAGAAAATGCATGGTTTAGTTTCAAACATGAGGAGTGAAATGTTACAATTCACCCCATATGTTACATCTCACCCCAGGGTATGTTACAACTAACCCAGAGTCTGGGTTAGTTGTAACATACCTGGGGTGAGATGTAACATTATGAGATCCACAGGGGTGATATGTAACATAATGAAATAAGGATTTAAAAAAAAAAAAGGATTTTGAAAGCTTTTTATTCAACACTGACTTTTCAATATAACTGATGTGTGCTTGTATGTGTGTGTGTGTCACTCTTAGTCATCATAGTAATTGACCACTATAAATGTATCTTGAACACAAAACATTGTTTGTGTGTAAGCTTGTTTGTTACTGTCAGTCATAGTATTGGCCATAATAAATTAAAATTGAACACTTGTGTTGGTGTAAGCTAAGCACGTCTGTTACTGTCAGTTATAGTAATGACCATAATAAAATTTAAATTGAACGCGTGTGACGTGTTAGGGTTAGGTTGTAACGTTTCATTGTTGTTACAACTAACCCAGAGTCATGTAGCCATGAACTAGCTCACCTTACAGCTAACAGGCAAAACATTAGCACTAACAACTTGCATGAAAAATATCTACACAGACACACAATAAACATGATTTAAATTTGATGAGATTGACCATAAAGCAGAAATTCCCATAACAAAAATAAACAAAGTAAAAAAAATTACTTTCATACCTCAAAATTGTTTTTCCACTCTAACATCTGCTGTGTTTGCCACTTTTGCCACAGTACTTTATTACATGTGGAATAAGGACTAAACTGGGCATGTGCGAAGTGAATCAGGGGATTTGTAACTAGTTCCTGATTGGACAGATTGGAATTGTTACAACTGACCCGTGTTACAACCATCCCCGGTCTCCCTAAGTAGCATACGGTATACGACGTTTCCTATTTCAGTCGTTATACTTCACAATTTCACGTTTAATTCAGCGTGTTACTTGTCTTTCTTTTAATTAATTGTGAAAATTGTTTCTATAACAACTATTTTAAGTGTAGGAAAAAGGCTAGGCCTACACTCTTTTCTAAAGTGGTTATCTTGAAGCATTTATATTCACTTTAAGATGATTGACAATATGCCTACATTTTTTTTATATTAGCCTATTTAAGTACAAGACATTTGACTAAAGAAATTAGTCAGCCTACAACACTCCACCATATCCATAGCATGCAACGCAATCTTTAGGCTATTTCTTTTATTCTTTTGGTTGTCTCATTCAACTATTTCAACAATTCCATGATGATGCATTCAAAGGAAACCATTTTTGTTTTGTTTTAAATCAGTTGGTCTCATGCTCAGTTCCATAATGATGAGCAAGCACATAGGTATCTCTCTGTTTTTTCCAGATAGGCTAGCCTACCTACTCATCAGCAGAGGCTAAATGAATAGCTAATTTCATGTAATTGCGCTTCGTACGTTAACACTGGTGAAGATGGAATATTCCGCTATTGAATGATGACGGTGTTGGTATTATTAATAAAACGCACACTCATTATTAGTTTTAAGTGGAACACAACCTGCCACATGCACGCGCTGAATTGGCAGAATTGAATTCATAGAGCGCGAGCTCCTGGGTGTAAATGCTCGTGTGGTCTGTGCGCCTCGGAACTAGGCTATGCTGCGGTGGATCGTTGGCAGTTATGATTCGCTGATGTGGGTTTTTGTAACACCTAGGGTGCTTCCCTTTCCCATTAGGCTATCTGAGAAAATGATTTTGTTCTCATCAATTTTATGAAAGAAAAGAAATCAGCCGTTCATTCATTGAAAGCATTGGGACTTGCCCAGCAGCTTTTTTCGAGTTGAGAGTGAAAAGTGAAAATGGCTACGTAATCTACCACCCATCGGTCTCCTGGTTAAGATGAAAGATATAGCTAATCAGTGTAGGCTAATAAAAAAATACCAACTGTAATTAAAAAATGACGGCATATAATAAAACTCAAGGCGGGGGTGACTTATGGTTTTTTCTTCAACGTGAAACTCAACGGCTTTTTTTGGGGTCTTTCTTTCTTTCTTTTTTTTTACCACAAATTTGATACCAGGTTTGTGGTCTGTTTTTGGTTGCCCTACAAGAAAACCAAAGATGGCAATAATCCAAAGAACTAATTCATTAAAAAAAATGTCTTGATCATTCTAAGTATTCTTGATAAGATACTGAGAACTTTAGTGCTAATTGTCCGACATACAATTCATTAGAAAAATGAATTGTAGAAAAATGAAGAAAAATTAGAATGAAGAAAAATTAGAAAAATGAATTATGACAAATATGCATTAAATAACAAACTATCAAAACAAGTGGCATTTATTTGAAAGAAATACTTTTCAATTAAAGCATTTCAATAAGTTTGATAGATTTCAAATACAGAAATATTGTTCAAAATGAAACTTCTTGGATAGGCAGACAGACAGACAGATAGACAGACAGATAGACAGATAGATAGACAGACAGACAGACAGATAGACAGATAGATAGATAGATAGATAGATAGATAGATAGATAGATAGATAGATAGATAGATAGATAGATAGATAGATAGATAGATAGATAGATAGATAGATAGATAGATAGATAGATAGATAGATAGATAGATAGATAGATAGACCACATCCTCTTAACCACAGCAAAGGAGAGAGATGCGCAGCGGCAAACAAAAGAGACGCTGCGGTTTGCAAAACTTCCAGATACGATTAGCCTATTCTTTCCATTCATCACTCTGTTTTAGTATAAAACGGTCAATTGGCATCCAAATCTTCAGCAAGAGATTTTCAATAAGTTTCAGCACCGTTTGTGACTCAGTGCTATTTTATAGCTCCTTTAATTTTTTTGACTTGGACAATCAGCATCATCTTTCTGATTTTTGTTCGCATAAAATAGGCCTACAAAATGGCACTTTGGAAATGTATCGCTTTATTGAGTCTATTTCTTTTTTTCTCACAAATTTGTTCAATGCCAACAAAGTGCATCATGCGGCGGATACTTGTGAAAGAAACTCACAATCTACTTGAGAATATGGTAAGTTGAGTTTCTCTCTCTTTTTTCCCTCTGTTCTTTTCATTTCCTTTCCCTGCCTGACCTAGCTATGTCATATGTGTCTTTTCTCATAGGGAGGTCTTTTTCCCCGTGAATGCTTGGACGAAAACGTCGAAATACCCTTTCCGAAATCTGCACTGCAATCAAATGGCTCCAATCAGGTAAAAACACATCAATATTTATTCCAGGCATATTAACTCCTTGATTGTCTAAATGTTTCTAAGGAATATTTGCCAGAGCCTGCATGGGATGATGAAGACTGCATATATATATATATATATATATATATATATATAGCCTATATATATAGCCTATATATATATATATATATATATATATATATATATATATATATAGATTCTAACTGTTATATGTTTAATTTTCAGAACATCGGTGTAGCAAAGGCAGTGTATAAAATCATGGAGCACATTGACTTCCTGTTTGCTAACGACAGTTGTCCAGAGTCCTGGAACCAGAAGAAAGTGCAGGATTTCCATAACATAGTTTACCGTTTAACTTCCGAAAACAAATGTGTAAGTTTGAAATACATTTATTTGTATAGGCTATTATAGATGAATATATGAAGATGGCTGTAATTATGTAGCCTAATATTTCTCATCCGTGTGTAGATTATGGGGAGAACGCACAGACCCGTGG